AAATGAGTGAGTGAGTAAGTCCTATCAAACGCACATCCGCCGCCAGCCTCTATACACTCGGCCCTACTCTTCTCTCTTAGACATGGGCTACTAGCTGCTCTGGGGGTTCTCGTCTGTTTTGTAAGCGTGTGGAGAACCAATAGAAGAAAAGGTATGTGTTGTGTTTTTTTGTGTGTATTTTTTTTTAAGGTTGTTGTTTTATCGGTTGGTAGTTGTTGTTGGTTTAGATTTGGATGGGGTGTCTCTGCACCTCCTTTCTCTCTTTCTCTTTCTCTCGATTTAGCTCTTTCTCCCTCGCTATCTCTCTCTCTCTCTCTCTCTCTTTTCTCTCGATTTAGCTCTTTCTCTCCCTCGCTATCTCTCTCTCTCTCTCTCTCTCTCTCTCTCTCTCTCTCTCTCTCTCTCTCTCTCTCTCTCTCTCTCTCTCTCTCTCTCTCTCTCTCTCTCCTATCTATCTATTTATCTATTTATCTATCTATTTATCCCAAACATTCTTTTGTCGATCTTTATGTTTAGTTATCGATCTATTGCCAACCTATTGCCAATCTCTGCATTTACAAATTGATCTATCGATTTTTATTTTTGTCTTAGTATCTGTGTAAAGTTAAGTAATCACTGCGTTTTGTACTTTTTTTCTTTTTATCTGAATTATTAGACTTATGCCAAGTTGTAAAATTCATTGAGTACGTTCATTCATTGCTAGATAAATACACGTCGTATATACAGCATATGTTATCTGTTTACCGTCGTGTGTCCACTTTTATTTGTGCAGTGGGTGTGGTTTCCCTTTTATTTCTCTTTCTCCATACCTCCCTCATCTCTCCATTACTGTGTCCTTAGCTCTTCCCATAACTATTCCTTGTCTGCTCCTCATAAAGAAATCTCCTCATAATCCGCTTTGATATACTCTCATAACCATTATGCTTCTCCTCATAGCATAAACTTTCCCCTTCTGCTTCACTCTCGCCTCATCCCCAATCTTCCTTTCCTATTCTTTCTTCCCTCGTGCCTTGTCCCGTCTTCCTCGTGTCCTCATTTCTCATCCCTGATCTCTCTTCTCTCGCTCTTCACTCCTCATTCTTACTCCCTCATCACCATCCATTTTCCCTCATTCCCCAACTTTCATTTCTAACTCTCCTTCTTTGATGTCTCACTACCCATTCTCCTTCCCCTCTCTCCCCTTCCTCGCCCGTCTCTTCTCCCCTCATCCTTCACTCCCTCTCCTTATCCCTCCTGTCTCTCTCACCCTTCACTCCTTTCTCCTTCTGCCTCACTCCACTTCCCTCCTACTCCCTACATTCTGACCCTCTTCCTCATCACATCCCAACTCATTCATCCGTCATACCGTCTTCCTCATTCCTCCCTCCTCCCCCCTTTCTTCACCCCACCTCTGACCTCCTCACCTTCACCTTACCCACCCTTCTTCCTTCTCCCTCACACCACCTCCCTCCCTTCACCCCACAATCTACACTCTTCCCTCTTCTCTCACCCCATCTTCGAACTTATTCACTGACCCCTTCACCCCTCCTTCATTCTCCTTTGCCCCCTTCCACCTCACATCTCTCTCATCCAACACTTCTTCCACACCTCTTTCTATTCTTCCTCGCACCCTCATCCTCACGCACCCCCTTCCTCATCATCATCAATATCATTTTCACCATCATAATTACTTTTACTATCGTCATCATTAGCCCCATCACTATCATTACCATCAATATCATTTTCATCATCACAATTACTTTTATTATCATCATTGCCCCCATAATAATAATTACAATTATTACAATTACAATTACAATTATTACAATTAGAATTACAATTATTACAATTACTATTAGAAATATTACAATTACAATTATAATTACAATTACTACAATTGTAGTTACTACAATTAGAATTAGAATTATTACAATTAGAATTAGAATTATTACAATTAGAATTAGAATTAGAATTAGAATTATTACAATTAGAATTAGAATTATTACAAACAGAACTAGAATTATTACAATTAGAACTAGAATTTACAAATAGAATTAGAATTATTACAATTATAATTAGAATTATTATAATTATAATTAGAATTATTACAATTAGAATTATTACAATTAAAATTATTACAATTACAATCATTATAATTACAATTACTACCACGACCTCAGAAGATTACAATTAATACAATTACTATCCCGACCTCAGATGAGCCTGGAACCCACCTCCCCCGGCTGGTTCGACGTGGGCCGCGACAAGCCGTTCCCCGCGATCTACCCTGAGCTTAAAACCCCCGTGACTGTTGACGTGCTGGAGGTCGGGTGGGTTAGCGCTTTCTTCACTCTCCTCGTCCCTTTTATCCTTATTTTGCCTGCGTTTACGGGCTGTCGGGTGAGTCTTTGAGGAATTTGTTTGTTTGTGTTGTTTGTGTTGTTTATTTTGTTTGTTGTTGTTTTTGTTATTATCATTATTATTGTTATTATGATTATTTCTGTTAGCATTATTATGATTA